AACCTAACCGGTTAATGCTGTTTAAGGAAACAGTCGATGTTTACTGCGAGAACCATACGGAACATACATACAATGTGTGGGCAGAATATATAGCAATTCAGTCCGTACCTCACAGGAAACACATTACGTCTCCGCTACAGAGCCCAACCGGTTAATGCTGTTTAGGGAAACAGTCGCTGTTTACTGTGAGAATCATACGGAAAATACAGATACACTGTGTGGGCAGAATGCAGATTTTTTTAATACTGATGCAGGTGGCACATATACTAACCATAGCGGTGTAACTCCTCTTTAACATTTTTTGTCATTAATTCATTATTCATTTCCTCCTTATGCATATTCACGCCCGTATTTATATCGGAAAGTAATATTTTGCATAGACGCAATAACCTATGCATAAAAATGAAGCAGATTGCAACCTAAGGCGCCGCCCTCAGGGATCTCGTCTTTACTCAAATTCAGATCTGTACACGGCTTAGCGTCACGAGGCAACTACAGTGAATCCAATTAGCAACAACCTTCTACACCAATTTTTTGTCTGAAAACACGCATTCTTCCAGCTTCTGAGATGTGACGTCGTGCAGTCTGAAAGAAGTTTACAGACGTGCGCGTGCATAGTGATCGCCAACTGCCGGTGCGACAAGACAGGATGTTACCGACCGAGCTGCCATACCGACTTCTCTCAGTCCCACCATATAAATGCAGGGGCACTACCTTAAATTAGGCCACGACCACTTCTTGCCAAGTTCATTATTCACTATCATCCAATTAGCCTGAGCTACTGACAGCGTCGTTAAACAAGCAACATAAAAAAGAGGTTGTTCACCGAGATTTAGAAAAGTACACAGTGAAGAGAGTCATAATTTATGCTCTTAATCTAATATTATCACGGTACACAACTCAAGGAGGATAAGATGGATGAGACATGTAGCATGCTTCGAGAACATTAATAACATTTTGTTTTGAAACCTCGAAAGAAAGAAACCACTTCGAAAAATTATCATGGTGAGCAAGTAAGGATTTGGATGGAAGTGGTCGTAACATATTTAAAGGTAATATCCTTTAATATAGATATAGCGACTGAGGAAAACCATCGAAATTCACAATCAGGATATCGAGTAAACGCGCAAATTTGAAATAGGTGGAGGTGTTAGGGTTCATCAAGCAGACTCAGTCACAGGACAGACAGACGTACAACAGTATTTCATAATAATCAGTTCTCGTAATCTGCGTATCGACGCTGACTATGGCGTCGAATGGTGGATGAGGATCTGGAAGGGAGCTACTGCTACCAAATTTATAACACCATCTCGACACTTGTCGGGAGGGACGGAGGAGAACCACAGCAGACCTCAGTGACGATAGCGGAAGTCCCGGCAGACTCTCGAAGAGGACACCATCCGAATACATCACATAAGCCAGTTCACTCTGAAGCGCGCTATCAATGAGGGACATCCGCGTAATATGAAATCGCGTAGTCGGCAACAGTGCATGGGCCTACAAGTTACGAAATTACGCATGTCTGACCGCAAATGAGAACACGGCAACATAAACTATTCAACATTTCTGTTATTTCTTGCTCTGAAATCCCTCTCATCGTGAAGCCATCAAAATCATCACATTGCAAAAACAATGTCTGTACTGCGGGAAATTCTGGGAGCAGCACTATCGCCCTGGGGTCGACTCAGCCTCTAACAGAAACGAGTACCAGGAATGTTCCTCGGGATAAAGGGCGGCCGGCTGGGGCGTAAGGCTGACAACCTCACTGCCATCTGTGAGTCAACTGTCTAGAAAATGTGGGAGCTTCGACGTCTCACAACCTTATGGGCCTCCACGGCATGTTACAGGGATAGCTTTATCTTTACCCCATGTCGTGATGCAGTCACTTCTCAATTTAAGTCGTGTTAGTGCTCAATTTAAGGCCATTATGCCACCATCAACAGGCAACATGGCGGCCAATGCGTTGCAATTGACACAGAAGAAGCTGCGCAAACACAGCTATGGGCAGCGATGGTACGAAACAAAATATTCATTAAAATAAAACAGCAAACTGAGGAAACATTCTACGTTACAGTCCCGGGCGAAGAACGGTTACTTCTGCCTGTACCTACCTGAATACAAGACAGTTTCTGAGAACACAATAACATATTTAATTAGGATAAGGGAAACTGATTGGTGGGTTGCATAATGTTAAGGTTACGAAACAAAATAAAATCATAACAGAAACAAATAACATTTTTATTGTACATTAATGAATTCAAACAATCCCAAGCTAGAAACAAAACCATGCATACAAACATGCAGCTACTAGGAACTGGCACTAGAAGTCCGGGGTTCAGTGTAGTCCTTCCAACTGTCTAGCTTCTCATTTCACTGAAACGTTTCAACATAACGCTATAATATACAAGCATGTCCTAGATATTTGTGTGATGTTAAGATTACGGTCAGCTGAGGTGACATGATTTGGTTGCGTACACAGATAGCAACGTTTCGGAGTAACCTTCTGCCTCCAAACTGAGGACAGAATAAAGAATCTTCACATCTCAAACGACTGCAATCTTAATATTCGTCTCGTGAAAACCTAAAATCTAAAGAATCAGCCCCCACAGTTCGCGTATTAGTGCAAGTAGTAATTATCAACAATTATAATATTCATTATGATTCAAGGGAAGTTGGTGTTCTGCTTCGTGACAATGTTTTTTCCTTGGCACTACAGCCCCAGTGGGCCTAGGCCTAGTTAGTTAGTTATTGGAGAGGGTGGGTTTCCCCATGCACTGAGACCAGTATTGGTCCATTGTGCTTCCCTCTATGATATTCTACCAGTCTCTATACCCTACGGATATTGGTGCGTACCATCATTCCCGACCGCGCCAGCGAGTTCGGCCTCTACTGGCTTGGCGGTATCTATAATGCTTCCCCCATCTATCAGAGGTGTTAGAGACTACTGTTGGGCGGGAAATGTCCTTGAATTTAGCTCAGTGACCTCCTTTGGAGATATGAGGTTCTTTTACGTGCCGTAAAGCTACGACACGGAACCCACGGCTTAAAGTCCCTCCCGGAAGACTTGTTCCCTGAATTTTTCCGCCCTTAAAAATTCCACGACCTCCGCCGGGTTTGAACCCGCGTACCACGAGTCATGAGGTGGGAACGTTACCTCTAGACTACGGAGGCTGCTTGGGCCTAGGCCTACCTCCATGAACTTCTTCGTTCACTTCGGTTTTTATAGATCTTAGACATACGGTAGGACTCCTTGGGCGGGTGATCAGCTCGTCGCGAGGCCTCTACCTGTACACAAACACAGGAAAAACTCACACAAACATCCATGCCCTGAGTGGGATTCGTACCCGCGATCCCGGCTTCCGAGTGAGCGAAGACAGTGCACGCCTTAGACCGCTCGGCTATCGTGACAGGCTTCGTGACAATTCGAATTAGTAATTTTGGGAAACATCAACAAAATTTTGTTCAAAGACACAGGACGCGTTTATGCTTGAGATAAACATTAGGGAGACCTTCACCGTCTGACAGTTGCTCAGCTATTCAAGAAACTATCCTCCTTCTATGCAACCACAAATTTCAATACCGTGTTCACAAAAGCTCTCCACTGGACCACGGGGGCCGCCAGATTTCTTTCCGTGNGGGTGTGCAGAAATTTCACAAGCAGGGTTACGTTTAAACAGTCTGAAACCAGTTTTACTGACAGGTCTAGAATACTTGGAGAAGAGTAATTTTTTCAAATATATTTCTCGTATTACAATATTATTTGGTACATTTCGTGCTCTAAGATTTGCCTTTCCCCAGGCGAACATAAACTGAACACCAACCTGAGCCGGATTAATCCACTCTACACCACATGCTCTACTTGTACAAGATATATTACACACATTCTGACAAACAGTAAATGGCACGAACAGGGAAACATGCCCCAAGCAAGCTTCATAAACTGCGAATCTTGGGCACAGCGTTCTGGGGCATATGCTCTCAGTTCTTGTCGTAATTAGACGTAACCCCAGCTACGTGAGATCACTCAGTACACCACAAAATACACATTACTGCTGTACCAGGGAGTGGCCATACAATTGGCTTAGCACTGCTGTACTCGCTGGCACAACCACCGTCAGATGCTACTTGCAAGTTCGTATACTGAAATTTGCTATGCTACTTGCACGCTTCGTATACTGAAATTTGTTATGCTACTTGCACGCTTCGTATACTGAAATTTGTTATGCTACTTGCACGCTTCGTATACTGAAATTTTCTATGCTACTTGCACGCTTCGTATACTAAGATTCGCTAAGTTCATTCAACGACTGTGACCATCTGAGTACAAGGATGTGCAAAGAACTGTCGTGCTGAAATAATTGAAGAAATCAGTTTGTAAACATTACAAGCTAGTACATGGGCTTTCGTAGCAATACTTCCACAACGTTTCAACTATGGTCTTAGAATGTACAAGAAACAGTTGACGATAAGCCTGTCCTTACGAGAGATTTTCAAATTGTAGGAACTTTACGTTACAAAATCCGTTGCATGGAGCTCCATTAACTAAAAGACAAAGTACACTCAAACTTCTGAACGCTAACAGCAGAGCAGTATTTCTGCTGGTCATCTCCAGCATAGTTACACTTGTTTCGCGTCATAACCGAATTTTTGTTCGTTTCAAGATACATCTGTACATGCATATACGAACATAATATATAACAATTCAGTTCGTACCTCACAGGAAACACATTCCGTCTCCGGTATAAAGCCCAACCGGTTAATGCCGTAAGGGAAACAGTGGCTGTTTATTTTGAGAACCATATGGAACACACAGATACACTGTGTGGGCAGAATGCAGAGCTGAAACAGGCGGTGCACATAGTTACCATTCTGCTTTAAAGTTTCGGGCTGAATAAACTACTACGATCCCGTAGCATCAAAGTTGCATCTGGCGGTGGCTGTGTAAGGCAGCGCCCTAATCTTCCCAGACATGCTACACGCAAGGCGTCCCACAAACTGACCTGCGAAGGGGGCGTCGCCGAAGAACTCCTCGACGTTGTTATCTGTGGAAACGCTCTTGTCAGACAGAGACACGCTACTGGAGAGACTGCCACTGGAGGCGTCCAGCGAAGGGAACAGGAGGAGGTCCTCTTCTGTTTCCGTCTCGATGTCTCTCGAGCGTCGCTTGTATTCCTGTTGAGAGGAGGAAGGGGACGTGAGACAAAGCAGAGACGTAAGCATCTCGGAGCACAGTGCTCGGGATGGCAACACTGCGCCCGAATTTCGACGGCGATCCCCGGAGCAGCCCCACGACATGTCACCTGGGAACGTGGCTTATATCACACAATTTAATGTTAGTTGCTACGTCACGAACATACGTCTGTGTACAGTGCTGGGTGAGATTATGATAACACAGTGCGGTGACAGAGCGCTGCATGAGAAAGTTACATGTAGTACTAATCAGCCCACAGGCGGTTCTCCCAACTGTCTCTCTTCCCTAGGGATCGTCATTTTAATCAAAAACGCATATTCAGACGAGCCTATTGAGGTACCGGATGTTACGATTGGATTGTTAGTACGAGAAGCGCAGAGCCTGCTTTCAAACCCAGTTAAAATGATGTGGAATTCAATGATTTTTCTTGGGAGTTCTTTCTGTCATGTTGGCTACTCTTACCTAAAATTTAGATATTACATATTCCAAGATGGCAGAAGATTTGTAATAAGATATACTGTATTCCTAGTCTAAGGCCGCGCCATTGCTCAAGCGGTTAGTCGCTGGCTTCCCGCCGCGGCGGCCCGGGTTCGATCCCGGGTCTGGTCAAGTGGGATTTGTGGTGGACAAAGTGGCGCTGCGGCATGTTTTCTCCGATTACTTCGGTTTCCCCTGCCAATCTTCATTCCACCAATTGCTCCACAATGATCCTCACCTATCATCTGGGGCTGGTACAATAGGCCAGAAGTGGCCGCAGTACAAGGGACTTAGTCCCACTCCACTAGCATTAAAAATACTCCTAGTCTATAACTAATACATCAGCATATTTAAATTAAACTGAAAACGTCAGCACAGCACGTTCCCGTGAACCGCATCGGATTTCTTCCTTTCTTTTGAGTATCCTTCTGGTACTGAGGCACACACTGAGAGCTTCGTTTTATCTACAGAAGTTTCCATTACTTAGTACGGAGTAGAACACTTGAGCAAGTTAATTTAGCCTTTTCAGTACAAATAATATCAACTGAAATAGAAATCTATTCGCGCAATTCGCTCGAGCGATACACAACACTGAACAGTCGACTGACAAGATTGCCAACCGACATATGGAGCTGTGGAAGGTAGGGCACAATAAGCAACCAAACTTTTTTTTTGTCCTGATTCCAAAGTTGAAGGATCATGAATGACGAGGGAAAAGTCAACCTCATAATGATGGAGTCATAACCTCCTAACATTTAAATATCACTGGAATATTAAAAAACACGCGCAGCAAGGTAATGGGGACACGGGGGAAAAGGTCAACAAAATGAAGGGCAGGAAAACAGCAGGACAAATAATTAACTACAAGATACATTTTCATACTAATAAATGTTTAATCTATACCGAGAACTAGTTTCGGGAGGTGCTCATTTCGAGCCTCGGCTGGACACTGACAATCCTGAGTTTTCAGTCCTTTTTCTCGATTGTTCAAGGCAAATGCTGGGAGAGTACCTCGAGTAGGTCACGACCGCTTCCTTCCAAATCCTTTCCAATTCATAAATCCTATCATCGAATGCTATATAGTACTGATAGTCACACCGTCATTAAGTGACCACCTAAGAAAAACAAAAACAACAAAGTATGGGGATTCGAACCGCACTCAAAAACTCTGCCGCAACACTCGCACACCATTTTAACAGCCGTGGCTACCGTACACATTGGTAAGAGTGCCGGGTGAACTTCGCAATATCATATGCAGCCTTCTTATGTTAACATCAACAATTCACTCCGAGGCGTTCCTTCCAACGTTACTATCAAAATTACTTCTGACCATGCCTGGCTCAACTTCTTTCCTCTGGTGGCAGGAAAGTACACATCCTAACACTTTACCTTTCTTCGCTTCCTACAGAGTTACCCTATCTCAAAACATACACGTATTTCTACCAGAAAGACGAGTGGGCACTGCGTGGGAAAGGGTCGGAAAATATTTCTGCCCCCCCCCATCTTAAATGTAATCTTTCTCCCTCTCACTACCCCCGCTCTCATTTGCTCTTCCCTGTGAGTACAGCATGTTTACATAGATCTATAATAGAAACACCAAGACTAAAAACGGGAAAAGTGATAGGGTAAATAATTAGAAACCAAAAGAAAATTTTGCTCCTTGGTAAAGGGTAAGGTAACGGGGGAAGTTCACTCCGCGTATAAGCGTCACACTATGTAGATGTATGGGTGAAATGTAGGAAAATCTCTACTATTTCATATTCTCGGCACTAGATGTAGCTCACTGATCAGCTTCACTCTCCGTCCGCTTTACCCGGAGGAAACAGTCGCCGGTACACACTGCGCTGGTCCCCACAGCCTATTTGATGTGGCGACGAAGTTACCAGTCCCTCTTTTGTCGGGAATCGAATCCTTGTGGTCCGAGATTCAGCGGATCGCAAAGACTAAGCCCGCAACCTCTCCTTAAACACACCCCGTACCACTCTTCCTGAAAGGGTGCATGTACCGCAAGCAGGAGATTAACTTGCACGAGGTATGATGTCAGGATGAGAAACTCGACTTGCCGTCGGTGCTGAGTGAACTGTGACGACACACATCCAGTGCAAAAGCGGTCCATCTCCACACACACTTAGTGACACGCGTAGCACTCAAGACAAGGCAGTCACTGGATTGTAACATTCAGCCCTCAATGGTGACGTTCACCGCCCTTTTCAGAAGCCTACGGTCTGACTTCAGCTGGCCAAGAAATTTCCCGAGTTCTATGGAACCCGAGAGCTCATCACCGTGCTCACAAAACCATTCCACGGGCTCGTATCCGTGAGCCATATGAATCCGGTCTACCTTATGGCCCAGTTATATTTAACCATTCCGTCTAAACTTACCCACTCATATATTCATGAAGCACAAAGAGCTACATAACCCCATGTCGTCGTGCTTGAGTCCACCATCCCCACAATAACTTATCTGGTGAAGAGTAGAAGTCATCAGGCTCTGCCCCTATGTTACTTCCTCCCCCCTTTCACCCAAATAAAAGACAAGAAAAGAAAACAAAATAGTCTGAACTGAAAAGCAGCAAGCATGCACCCTGTTGGGGCACTGCCTACCATACAATAATTCGTGATTAGCAAATGACAAACAAAGGGCAGAGTCACAATTTCATACGCGCTTTCTAAGACAGTTGCTTCAAACACCAAATCGACATTCAACTTACTTCTCTGCTGCCGGGGACACGTTGAAAGTATGGCAGAAAAATTGGTGAAAGTGAAGTCGTGGGAGAAGACAGAAACACTATATTGCGGGGGCGAGAAAGAACATCACTCATCTGATTGGTATATACAAATTCAGTCCGTACCTCACAGGAAACATTACGTCTCCGCTACAAAGCCCAACCGGTTAATGCTGTTTAGGGAAACAGCCGCTGTTTATTGTGAGAACCATACGGAACACACAGTTACAGATGGGATGGATGGCCCTGAAGGCATATCGTGATTCTGTGCAGCTTTCCTTCTGCTAGGAAACAGGGAAGTGACAAGTTCATATACAGGGTGATCCACATATTACTCTCTTAAAGTCACAGTTACACTGTGTGGGCAGAATATATAGCAATTCAGTCCGTACCTCACAGGAAACACATTACGTCTCCGCTACAGAGCCCAACCGGTTAATGCTGTTTAGGGAAACAGTCGCTGTTTATTGTGAGAACCATACAGAACACATAGATACACTGTGTGGGCAGAATTCAGGGCCTTTTAATGGTAAAACCGGTGGTAGATATCGTTAACCACTGAGTTTTAAAAGATTAAGGGAAGTTGTATCATTTTTCTTCTAAGGACCTCTTTTACGTACGCCATCTTCAGAAGGAGTGGGGAGTTCCAGCGACAGTGTGGATGTCTCGTGTTATCTGTGTTGACACGTCGCGACGCCGTCTTCTCCGCCTGGGTTGGCTTTCCGGCAACTGAACTCTGTACGCATTGCTCTCATAATGAACGGAATCTGGCATCAAGGCGTCTGCCTTTACCTTGTCGCATTTTGCCGTCAAGTGCGTAATAATTGGATCTTCCTACATCCACACTACATGAGTATCGTTTCACTCCTCCTTGCGCAACAAGACGGAAATACAGGGGTCGCAGCGAGTTCGGATACGAATGAGGTCTGCATTCAGGGAGGAGCAACAGAGCAGAGTCCTTCCTGAGAAGCTGATGATCGCTCAGACATGAGAACCACCAAGACTTGTTTCCAAAGAGGGGACATTCAACAAATTTGCTTGCCAAGCTACGTCTTGGCCGTTTAAGATTTTTACGGATCGCCCTAGATTTCTTGGTCTGTGTTAAAATAGTACCATATTTAAAACTAACTGTACATTTTGGAATTATCACTTAGTATAGCCTCTTTTCGCCGTTTAATTTAGACTTCTTTCTTCCAAAATTCCACCTTTCCCCTCAAGCACTCAGATAATCAAGAAATTCATGGTTTCTCAAGGACCCGAAGGCTCATCGCCGTATTCACAAGAGCTCGTCACTGCTAGCGGAACAGCGTCCCCACACTCACACACCACTTCCTCAAGACCTGTCTTCAACCATCCGGGTATCTCTGCCTACCCTCCGCTCCTTTCTTCAGGAATTGCAGCCAAAACTTGCGTGTGAACTTCTCGCGTCTCTCCCCGCCCCCAGCTCATATTCCTTAAGGGCCCCTACACGTGCAATATCATATTTGCGCAGTTAAAACTGATTCCCTAATAACATGTCGTGAAGCTGCAGATATCTCCAGCCTCCTATCACTTCATCCCCCTGAGAACGTTTTCCCCTCAGCACCCGATTACGAACACCCTTAGCTGAAGTCTTCTCATAATGTGAGAGATCAGCTTCACGAAGCCGACAGATTTATGTCAATGATCTTAATACAGACGCCCGTCCACTGCTGCCAAGTCTTGAACATAACAAAATGTTTGTATCCAAATGTGAGGCACTTGCATACTCAACCCATTTAAATCTAGTCCAGTCCATCAAATTTCTGTTGGCCCTCGCCAGCATAGGCGTTCTTGCTTTCGAGTCCCCAACATTTTTTTTTCCAGACTCTTACGTGTTTTGAAATGGGGCCTCCTCTTCGACGAGAGAGGTGCCTGACCACTACTGGTCACTCTCCCTCTACTGGGGAGTGACACTACTGGTAAGCTTTACCACCGCCAAGTTTAAGCCTCTTATATTTGTACGTCTGAAGATCATCTTCCATTTGTATATATACAGAGTCCGTACCTCACAGGAAACACATTATATCTCCGTAACAACGACCAACCGGTTAATCCTGTTTGGGGAAATCATGGCTGCCTATTCTGGGAACCATACGAAAGGCACACGTACACTGGCTGTGTGGACAAAATTTAGAGCTTCTGAATGTTACAGCAGGTGGTACATATAGACACCACTGTGATCTAAAAGGTTAATTCAAGAGGAATGCTGCCTTAATGACATATGCAACAGAGATGCCCTCCAGAACTGCTCCAGCCTGGGCTTCACAACCGTTCGTTCGAAACCAACCGCACATGATACGCGCCTCTCTACTCTGAAAGCGAGTTTCCAAGTCTCTCCTAGAAACTGTTTCAAATTGAACCTTCAGGTTACATGCCTCGGAAACAAAGTAACTCTTACATGTTCACGACTCAAAGAACAAACTTGCTTTAAAGAACATGAACATGAAACACTGAGAACGCCCTTCCACATAAAGTACGAGGCAGGTAAATTATTAAGTCCAGTGTACAAAGCGACTTACGGTAATGTAAAACACTAGACCACATAATATACAGACTACGTACACAAGATTCTAAGGGCGGTATAACCAGACCTTTGGCAGTTTACTGCTCAAAGTCCCACCTGATGTTAAAATCAAACTTTACAAGATCAAAGGCCTAACTTAACGTTGGTCTAACATGAAAACAAATTACTCGCCCTAATTAATTCATCCGAGATTATGAAGAATGAAGGAATAATGATTTATATAACTGTTTCACATCAAACTGAAGCATTATACATCCCACACTTTCTAAACAAAACACACAAATTCGGTTCCTTCCTCGCAGGAAACAGTCCGTCTTCCTGACAACGCCCAACAGGTCAACGCTGCTTCGCAAAACAATCGCATTTTATTACAGGGAACATAAAAACAAACTGAGTGGGCAGAATGGAGAGTGTTAGTGTGTTACAGCAAGTGGTACGTATAGTTACCACCATACTTTAAAAGGTTAAAGTGCGTCGTCTTGTACAGAGTGTCCTATTTCCCCTTTGAAGAGCCCACAAGCCGCAATATTCCCTACGCTACAGCTCATCTTTCAAAGCTCACATCCATGTGCATTTACCTGAGCGAATCCGGTACACATGTTTGCGCATTGTGAACACCAAGTCATGCGAATATCACCCATGTTGGTCCGAAAGCTGCTACACAGTAAGGACCAATGAAGTTCCAGGTATGGCAATCAAGCCATTACAGCTCCAGCGGTAGAAATGCAGTAAACCGCATTTCTCGCATGACGTAACACTCCAGGGAGCAATGTAACAAGACGGAAAATAGGTCTACATGACGTCATAGCATCAGGTGAGACAGACGGCACCAACTGGCAAAAAGGTAAACTTGTCCCTGTGCTTAATTAACCATTCAAAGGACGGTGGTTCCTATATTTACCATAAGTTTTAACATTCAATAACTGACGTCCTGGGAGCGGTAATGGTGGAAATACTTTCAAGGATGTAACGCACTGTCTACTGATATGTGTACCGACGTTTCGGAGGAACATGTAGTTTGCATCATCAGGGTATGAGTCCCATAATCGTTAATATGCAGGCCGCACGTTCATCTGAAACGTCAGCAAACGTCTACCAGACCACACGGCGCCCACATCCCTGAAGACAGTTTCCTCCGAACGACATTGTGGCCACACAGTTAGGCCATGGCCGCTTTTTCAGTTTGGTAACCCTACACACTTTTTCAATTGACCTATTCCTTCCAGCCACACTATGGCCCTGGGGTCGACTCAGCCTCTAACAAAAATGAGTACCAGGAATTAATTAAATAATTTTCCTGGGGAGTAAAGCGCGGCCGGCGCGTAAGGCTGACAACCTTACCGCCATCTTTGAGCCGATTGTCTAGATAATGTGGGACCCTCAACGTCTTACAACCCTATGGTTAGGATAGCGTTACTTTTTTTAACCCTATACACAGTATGTAGGACTCCCTGGGCTGGGGATCAGCCCATCGCAAGGCTGCTAACTACACACAGGACAGCATAAACACAGAATAAACGCACATACACACACATATCTATGCCTCGAGTGGGATTCGAAGCCACGACCCCAGTTTTCGAGCGGGCGGCCACTGTGATCGGCATAAGGCTCATTAGTAATTACATTTTTACACTGATAAATCATATAAATCGCATTCTGCCATGTTTAAAGGTTGCGGTTATTCACGTGAACTCATCTTCCCGATAGCATCGGCATCTCGGCTGTACGGAGTCACGTGGTACGGGGCTACTATCCCAGTATTTCTCTTGCCGGACTGAGGATATCGATGGAAAACCTCAGTGAAGGTGGACGGTGGTCTGGTCAAGATTACCGCTACCCTAAACTGCTGGGTTTGTTCGAATCAAGGGTTCCTCAGATTAATAGAATTTGGGAACCAATCATGGGAGCCCCATGGGGGGGGGGGAGGGGGAGGAATTTATTTACAAAGCATTTAAGATTGTTTTTAAGGAGGGCTCTTGAGTTGTGTGTCTCCACAAACAAACATGGCTGGTGCCAAATATAAATTAATTTTAACAAGTTATCTTCAATTTTAAATTTTTTCTCCAAAAACATATACAAGGGTCAGAGCCCAAGAGACCGCTGGTATGAGAGAGCAATAAGACAAACCGACAAGTGAAGGAAGGCATTCTAACACAATGCTTCCATCAAGAGTCACTTCGTGTTCTGTTTCATCGGCAACAACTGAAACAAGGAGCTGTCAGCTGAACCGAATGTACTGAAAACGATGCGTCACTTCCGCCCTGGATAAGTGACGCCCGGCACCAGATACACAACACCACTGTCATGGCATACCGATGTATCTAACTCTGTGGTGTTGAATCTTTCCTGGGCAGCTAATAGTCGCTCAGCTGTCCAAGAAATTACCCGCCCCCCGAGCCATCAGGATGTTCATTACCGTGTTCACAACAGCCACATATCAGACTCCATTCTAAGTCACACATCCTCACGTATATTTCCTACAGATACACTTTACGTTATCACCCCCATCTGTGTGTGGTCTCTTCCTCGGGAGTTCAACCTAAAATTCTGCAGCCATTTCTCATTTACCCACGAGTGCTACATGTCTCAACCATCTCATTCTCCTTCATTTGATCATCCTAACAATATCTGATGAAGAGTATAAATTATGAAGCTCCTCCATATGAAATTTTCTCCAACTTCCTGTTATTTTTTCTCTCAATTCCTAACGTTCCCCTCAGCACCCTGTTCCCAAACCCCTTCCCAGTGGGTGAAATCATAGGTCAAACTAACGAATTATTTGTAAGCTTCCACGATGAATCAAAGGTGACAAGCCCTCTTGGTTATGAAACCATTAAGTCTTATACGTGGTTGCCAGCATTTCGGAAGGACTTGCTGCCTCTATCTTCAGGGTAGGTGTCCTGAAGATGGAGACGGAAAGTTCCTGCAAAACGTTTGCAGATACTCTGAAAATTTAGACAGTAGGTTGCTCTGAAACTCCGGAAGATGTCCTGAAGATGGAGACAGTAAGTTGCTTCGAAACGCTGACAGGTGTCCTGAAGATGGAGGGGGCAGTTTCCTCTGAAATGTTTCTATCCACTTACCAGACTACACGGTCTCACAACCCAGAAGACCGCAGTGTAAATCACGTGACGGCAGGGGCAACTTACCTGACTAAGAGGTCGGATGCGTTCGTGTATGCTCTTCTCAGCCTGAAGAGCTGACGGAGGGGGATGGTCCGGTGTCGGCGGCTGTTGGTAGTGGGTCGGGCTCAGCGGCAATATCTGGACACTCGTGACATCCCGCTTCTGCTCGCAGTCGGTCGGCGTGGTGGGGTGCGCCTTACCACCGCTCGGCTCGTCCAGTAGCGATTCCTGGGAAGACTTAAGCGTTATGTACGCGCTTGACACGAACGTTGGGTTATCTTCTTCCGCAACACTTCCCGACGTTTCGACTACAACAGGAGCTACTGGAGAGACCGGATTTCCGCCCTCTGACGGCACCCCTCGATGCTGTGTTGGCTCGAAGTTTTCATAAGCCCTGTCATTGCTGTGTGGATGTCTCCTCAGTTTCCTCCTAGGGTTCTGGGTTTTAATCGGGAAATTTTCGTACATAGATGTAATGGCCACTGGCTGATCTCTGACTAGAGATTTCCTACCTAGATTATCGTCAATGTCCTCACTACGTCCCCTAAACGTATGAAAGGCTTCAGCTGGCTGCTGATCAACACGAATACTGTGACGTAATTTCATATCTACATACTGATCGACACTACGGCCCTGGTGCCGTAGCAGAGCGTCGCGACGCCCGCCACCTAAGGTCTGTGTACCCAGGCACTGCACGTCTTCTAGATCGCCATGGCTACGGACGCCGCTACGGGCCAGGAACAGGTACTCGTAAGCACCGCCGCCGCCACAGATGGCACCACTGTCGGCAGACATTGTCATAGACGGCTGCAGGTGGGTGGGGGAGACGGACAGGTTCCGTCGCGGCGGCTTCTTCGGGGGCGTCGGCTGCAAGAACGAATGCCATATTAATTACAAATATCGGGACAATTCCTTCATTAGACCATGACCGTTTCCTTCCAAATCCTTTCTAGTTCATCATTCATCTAAAATGTGCCACATGTAGAACCCGAATGCTCATTATTGTGTTCACAAGAGCCAGTTAAATCCAGCTCACACACTAACCTCAAAAAATAGAGCGCTTGTGAAGCCGATACTTGCTCAGCTAGTCATGAAGTTCCCTGCCATTCACAACAGTTCGCTACTGGACCATATCGTGAGCCAGCTGAACCTGCCACGCGTGCTACACGACCTGCACTCACCGAAACCTTGCTGTTGGAGCCTGGGCTGTGGCCATGTGAATGTCCAGGAGCCATGGGCATGTAGATGTTGGTGCTCACTCCCTCACAGCGACGGTCCCGGGGTGACGGCCCGCCGGTGCTAGACGCCGTGGAGGAGACACTCATCTGGTCCGGATCCCGGTGCTGCTGCTGGTGGTGATGGAATAGCGACATGTCGTCCGACAGGAAGCTGGAGTCCAGGGACTTGGGCGCAGGCGGCGTCTCGTATACCCCACTGTCCGACGCCCTGAGAACATGAACCTTTCTTGCTCAAACCAACAACTGTGGCGCCAGCCAGACACGCGACCACTCATAAGTAACGGCTACGTAAACGCAACAATGAAGTAACTTAGGAAGATATTTTTCTCTGCGATCCGTGTGTCGTGAAACAAGAACTCTCTCGTATTGGCAGCACCTGCCATTACGAGAGAGTCCTGAGAGGGAAGTAGAAGACCAGGAAGCTGTGAGTGATATGGCCGCCAGCCTGCGAGGAGCAGGGGAACGTCCACTGTTGGAAACCGCTACAAAACAGCATAGTGAAGACTGTGACTAAGAACTAGTGATTTGCGAAGTGTAACACCAGTCGTGTGTTGAAGTTTCCAATTCATGCAATCACCAATACAGACCCCGTCTACAGTCATTCAGTCACGTGACAATACTCTGCGTCTAGTGAGATTCTCACGTCTGTAAATATGAAGACTGTAGCCCGGATTTTTGAATAGCGCAGTTCGTCCGCTTTCAGGGTAGAAGAGTAAGCTGTGAACAAATGCAATGAACTTCACACACCTCCGGAAAGTTGGTAAACACCAATCAGACTTCACGGCGTCATATTCTAGAAGCTAGCAATCTTCGAACTGCGTCTCCGCTACAAAGCCCAACCGGTTAATGCTGTTTAGGGAAGCAGTCGCTGTTTATTGTGAGAACCATACGGAACACACAGGTACACTGCGTGGGCAGAATATATAGCAATTCAGTCCGCACCTCACAGGAAACACATTACGTCTCCGCTACAGAGCTCAACCGGTTAATGCTGTTTAGGGAAACAGTCGCTGTTTATTGTGAGAACCATACGGAACACACAGATACACTGTGTGGACAGAACGTTTCCCAATATTAAATGAGTCGGTACACATAGTTACCACTGTGCTTTAAAGGGTTAAAATTCAGGAGGTCATCTGTACAGACGCCACTGAAACTGTAACGTACATTACCCAGCCGATGGGCTACGCCTGTTGTACCTGTTTCAGATGGTCTACAGTTCAGGGGTAACCTATCTACTATTTGTTTTAAAATGGAAAACTATGCATTCTGCCCACACAGTGTATTTATAGGTTTCGTACGATTGTCAGGGTACACACCAACTACAGGTATTTCTCTAAACAGTATTAACCGGTTGGTCTTTGTAATGGGGACGTTGTGTTTTCTGTGAGGTACGAACGTTATTTAGGCGCAATACAGCCCTTCCAACATTAACATCACAATTCCAATCAAACACGATAAAGACCCTGCCCAGGTTCTTTCTTCAGCTCACAATCTATTAAGTCCACTTTCCAATGCTTGACCTTGTTCACTTTCATACGCTCGACGTTCCCAAATAAGCTACGAGTATCTTTACGAGAAGGACGAGAGGGCAGTTACTGGGAACGGGACTTTCTAAAGCCGGATATGTTACTGTTCCTCATTACCTCCTTCCACTTTCTTTTCTTTCCCTCTCTGTTCTCTTCCTTCTTCAGGTTTCAGGCTTCAAGGGGTATTATCTGTGTGTGTGTTTATATGAAATTCAATGCAAGCTCTTCATGTGCAAGACGTTTCATTTCGTCAGCAATGACGTCACTACGCCAGTTACTGTATATCGGAGGGCGAACAAAACAGACGCTTTAATTAGCCTCAAATGTTAAGACGTGAGTTTTAATCAAAGTAACAATTAAACGCTAGAACCACCTCTGCTCATTTTAATTGCTCAGTCTCTTTTTAACTCATTCAATCCCGAGGAACTCGGCCATCGTGACGCTAAAGCAGACGAAGTCACTGTAATTTCGACTTCAAAGGAAAGGAATTGCAGGGCATGAAGTGGGGAGAAAAGAAAATCGACGTTAACTTTTCCGCAGTGAACACAGGTGAATGAAGGGTCCGAAATACGTTCACTCTATGTTGGGATGGAACGCTATAACTACCCCCTTAGCCTCAATATACACTAGCACTAACGCCTGTAACAGCTGGAGCCAAGACAGTTCTGTCAGTATAGAGACTAGGCTACGGGGTGACCGGGCAAGGAACAGGGGTGCAGGAGATTCTTCTCTTCTGCAGAGCGTCCACGCCGGATACGTGATCCACCTATCAAGGGTCTTCCCACGGAGATAAAGCGGGTCAGGGTGTCCGTCTAGTGTCAACGTTACGGAACTTCATGGAGATATGCTCCACTCCCCCATACGTCATAACATGGAGCTTAGTTAGTTAGTAATTGGAGAGGGTGGGTTTCCCCATGCACTGAGACCTGTATTGGTCCATTGTGCTTCCCTCTATGATTTTTACCAGTCTCTATATCCTACCGGTACTGGTGCTTACCATCAGTCCCGCCCAGCCAGCGAGACCGGCTCTACTAGCTGAGAGGTATCTATAATGCTTCCCCCATCTACCAGAGGTATTAGAGACTGCTGTTGGGCGGGAAACGTCCGTTAATTTGGCTCATTGACCTCCTTTGGAGATATGAAGTTCTTTTACGTGCCGTAAAGCTACGACACGGGACCCACGGCTTAAAGTCCCTCCCGGAGGACTTGTTCCCTGAATTTTTCCGCCCTTTAAAAATTCGACGACCTCCGCCGGGTATTTGAACCCGCGTACTACGAGTCATAAGGTGGGAACGTTACCTCTAGACTACGGAGGCCGCTAACATGGAGCTTAACTAAGCACCTGTCCTTATTCTTGAACTTACTTACTCATGGAGCTGAGCCCTTCTCGAGGAGCCGCCAATTCTGCAGCTACTCAAGAATTTCCCAGCATTTTATGGAACCTGAAGATTCATTACCATGTTCACAAGAGCCCTCCACTGGTCCCTATTCTGAGGCAGATCTATCCAATCCATACCATCCCATTCTATCTATCTAAGATCCATTCTAATATTGTCCACCCACCTACGCCTTCGTCTTCCCTGTGGTCTCTTTCCTTCTGGCTTTCCCACCAATATCCTATACGCAATCCTCGTCTCCCCCATTCGTGCTACATGAACTGCCCACTTCCTCCTCCTTGATTTGATCATTCTAATTATACTTCGCGAAGAGCACATGTTATGAAGCTCCTCATTATGCAGTTTTCTCCAACCTCCTGTCACTTCATCCCTCTTCGGTCCAAATATCCTCTTCAACACTCTGTTCTCAAACACCCTCAGTCTATGTTCCTCCCTTACTGTCAGAGACCAAGTTTCACACCCATACAGAACCACAGGCAAAATTATAGTTTTGTATATTGTAATTTTTATATTTTTCGACAAGAGACGAGAAGACAAAAGGTTCTGGACTGAATGGTAGCAAGCATTACCTTATTCTTCAACTACAGAACACAAACAGAAAATTTCACTTAACATTAGAAACGTAATGAAGATTTAAGTGGACTGCAGGGCCATATCATAGACGTACAACATGGACTCAGTACGCCCCATGTTCCTTCTAAACTGTGTCAACAACCTACCAGACTACACGCAGTCATAAATCAGAAACTACAGTACGGGAAAATCCCTATGTTAATGTCTCGTGACCCGAACGCAGAACAAAACCTAATTGGAAAGTGGCTTTATGCATTTAAACCTCTGACTCATAATGGTAATTATATGTACCACCTTCTTTGTTTGCACGTTTCGTAAGTTTCTTCTGATTAGTTCCTTGAACAGCATCAAACGGTTCGTCGTTCTACTGGAGGCGCAGAGTTCCCTGTGAGGTACGAACTGAATCTGATATATTACTCAGACGAATTTCTGACTTGACACTGTCGCGGCAGTTGTCACGGCATGATCTGGGCTCACAATTTGGTCCAGTGTAGGGATCAGCTCTTGGTGTTGCCTATGCACTGGATCCTTCGGAATTTAAACGACGCTCTTTCTCCATTTCCGTAATATAGTGTCTCCGTCGCGGGTTCGATTCCCGATGAGGTCATTGGATTTTTTAATTGACTTAATCCTTCCGACCGCAATATGGCCCTGAGGTCGACTCAGCCTCTAACATAAATGAGTACCAGGAATCTTCCTCGGGTTAAAGGGCCGCAGGAGCTTAAGGATGACAACCTCACCGCCATCTGTGAGCCGACTATCTAGAAAATATGGTAGCCTCGACGTCTCACAATCCTGTAGGCCTCCACAGCATGTTACAGGGACAGCTTTACCTCACCATTTAGAGGTCTAGAGTTATCTCTCCCTACGCTTTAACGGGTTCAAAAACACTGGATGGCTGCGATACATGGAGACTTGGCACACGTAACTGAATAGCAATATCCGCATCTTATAACTGGCAAAACAGAACAGGGGAAGCGACTAATGTTTGAGCCAGCACTGAAGCAAGACTGAAGACAATTCCCGCTGTCCCTCTGAGACTTCGTGGGTGTTAAGGTCGATTACATTACATTTCACCTACTTGAGAAGAAACGTTTCTTACGAAACTATGATATACTTAATGAAACGCAAGTGGAGCATGTCCCGTGTTTCAACACCTGGAGCAGTTCGCTTGAGAGGCAGAGGGTAGCCGAGCGTGAAACCCCTGTAACTATATTTGTTTGCATAAAAATACTGCTTTTACTTTCCTTCTCCTATGACTTCATTTTTCGAGTTAATGAACCACGAAACTGAGTAACTTTTGCGTAAAGACAAGTATGAAACTTGGGTTATAAACTTCCGAAAGGGCTCAATAAAATATTAAGAACTGAAAATTTGGGCAGTCCTCCCCGGGACATGTAACCTGAAGTTGGTGCCACGACCGTCCGAGCAATTCTCCGACTTACTTACTTGCTTACCCTGCGCTACGACAAGCGGTGGGTGAGAGGTGAAGGTTCCAACTTCACCATTTGAGGCACAAAATTCATCTTAATAATATCTGAACATTCAGTTCATACCTCACAGAAAACAAAGTCTCTCCGTTACAGAAACGGTTAATGCTGTTTAGGGAAACAGTCGCTGTTTACTGTGAGAACCATACGGAACATACAGATACACTGTGTGGGCAGAATATATAGCAATTCAGTTCGTACCTCACAGGAAACACATTATGTCTCCACTACAGAGCCCAACCGGTTAATGCTGTTTAGGGAAACAGTCGCTGTTTACTGTGAGAACCATACGGAACATACAGATACACTGTGTGGGCAGAATTGCTTTAACGTCACAGCAGGTGGTACATATACTAACCGCTGCGCTTTACAGGTCTAAAGACCGCCGATGTGATTAAGTGCTGCTTCGTCAAGGCTACTTCAGTCTCAGGTGACAGTAACAGATAAATATGAAGCAATGATAAAATAGTGACTAGCATGGGAAAACCAAGTTTTCATCGAATCATCTTGTATTAAGGAAGACTGCGAAGAAAGTGCGTAGAGTATATTTAACGGGGTTATACAGGGAATTGAGATTGTGATGAATCCGTCCCCTGTAACGAACAGACATTAACCTCAGATGCAACTGTTCACTACTGGGACTAGTGAGAATTAGAAAATAAACAGCAGGTCCACTAAACGCACAGACAAGCTAAGTTCACTGGTACTATAGAGGCCTACACTAAACAAAACTGTGTTGCTTCAAAGTCACGTTCTAATGGAACACTACATTAAAATATTAATACATTAAATGTATATTCGGAAATATATTCACGACAACCCTTTTATTTAATTTCCTTCAAAACTGCAAGGGGTACAAACAACGTGTACTGAAAACATGTGCGTCTGATTCTTAATTACAACTTCCTTCGAAAGATTTCTCTCTCCGATATGCGTTCTGCGAGACACGCGCGTTAAAGTGAGAATATTTTCATGTAAAGTAGTCGTTAAACACATCGGATATGATTAAAGTTGAAATGCTTCGAGAATTTTTCGTGAAGTTCTGCAGTACCAAGTTTCACAAAAATCCGTCCAGTGTTCTCCAATTGTTTCACGCGAACTGGCAGAAGGACTAGGGAAACTTAATAATAGGCGCTCTGTAGGATTGCGAATGCGCCTCAAAAAGTAAACGTTTCGGAAGCTAGCCCTGGTTCTGTCATCAGGTGAAAGTATGAACAATATAATATTGCAGCATCCTGTTGCACTGTGTCATCCGACTCCTTGCCGCGTTTGTGCAGCTCTGTTGATATATTACTGTTCACAAGTCTTCGCTGCATGTTTCGGTCTAACTGGCCATCATCAGGTGCATACGATGTTGCACTGAAGGAACCAGCAAATGCCTCTTAATATTCTGGCTTATATAAGGTTATCTTGTCGTTGCTATGCGCGTGTCTGGTGGATGCTTTTGTTGGTTCGTTGCTTTATCCTTTTGGCTTCTACAGAAACACTCAGAACAGCCATACACAGAAAAACTCCGCAAATTATACGCCTGATGATGGTCAGTTAGGCTGAAACATGTAAAAGGTAAAGGTAAAGCTGTCCCTGTACCAGGCCGTGAAGGCCCATAGGCTTCTGAGACGTCGAGGCTCCCACATTTTCTAGACAATGGACTCACAGATGGCGTTGAGGTTGTCAGCCTTACGCACCAGGCCGAAACATAAGGCACGAAGACGTGTGAGGTTGCACAAAGACAGCAAGGAAACCTACTCCGTGGGGTTCAGTCGCTGGAGCTAACCTGACGCACCCAAGGAGCAGGTGTCACAGTGTTATGTGATGGCCGAAGCAGGCTTTGCCTTTAGGCAAAATGTTCAGCAGCATGTGCACAGGTCAGCGAATCTGTAAGAACACATCCGAACCGTCTGTACTCACACAGACATGGGGTCTCCACCGCTCCCCTGGCGAACCTTGGTGCTGTGGTAGAACTCCCAGTGCGTCGGAGACGTGCTGGGAGACGAGGAATCCAAGCCACCGGCTCCAGGAACTGGTACCCGTCCTCCGCCTCTCGTTGTCCGCACGTTTTCGTATGGACTGCCTAAAGTCGAGTCTGGAACCGGAATTGGGGGTAAGGGGTTCCCAAGGTTGTCTCGGTCTTCGGGATCCATGCTGTCCCGCCGACCCGAGGATCGATGTTCTGTTGAACACATCATGAAACATGGACTCTACGTAAGTAATTACTTCTGAGCGCCCAATTCATGGAAACAGAGAAACATGCAAAGTTATCCCTGTGTGTTAAACATGCAGCACGCCATGGGTCAGCAGATATTGCTCCACGCATTCCTGATTTCGCTACTAGAGAAGGCGAGTGGTCAGCCTTACGCCCCAGTAGCTATACTCCCAGAGAAACAGCCCCTGGTACACACTGGACAGTCAGCTGGGTCGGTCCCAGAGCCGGTCTGGACGCTATGGACAGGAGATATGTCTTACCCCTGCCGGGAATTGAACCCTTAATCTTCGGTCGCCCCGTTCGCAGACCATCAGTGTACTTACTCAGCTATTGTCCAAGCCACTGAAAATTCTGTGGAAATGATCTCTTACTTTTTATGATGGCGGTGATGTCATGGGTCACGTGGGCGGGAAATTGCCCCAGCAGGTCCATGACGGTGTTGTGCTGTGCGTCTCGGATGCACAAGTCTACTCCACCGTCCAGCAGCGTCCGCACGACCTCCATCTTGCCACAAAGCGCCGCCTCGTGTAGCGCCGTGCCGCCGGCTGTCCGAACGTTGACGTCCAGCCCCGCCGCAAGCAGTATCGCCACCACAGCTCTGCGGAGAAAGAGAGTCGGGTTCAGATCCCGGCTCTCCTCAAACTAGACCATGACCACTTCTACATCCTTTGTCACTCCCATTCACTGTTCATCCTACCGCTCAACTCGACGTCATCTGAGCTACTGAGAAACATCGTTAAACAAGGAATAAACGCGTGGGCCCGAAACCTGCACCCGGCCTGAAAATGCAGGGGGGGGGGAGCTTCTGTTGGCCCCGAGGATAAATTATCGGGTTCACAAGGGCTCGTCACTGCTCTGCATTCTGGGCCAGATAAACCCATTAAAGTCGGAGTCTCATTTTACGACCGACGGTCAGTTGGCCAGTCTGTCTTGGAATAAAGCACCCATCTGGGGCTGGCGATCAGATCTTTATTACTGACAGACAGTTACGGTCTTGTTTTTTTGTGGGCGCCCTCTCTGACGAGAGGACGGGTTTGTCTTTTGTATATGCTGCTGGCCCTTGCCAGCGCAGTATTTCTCGGGTCCGAGTTCCTTGGAACTCGCGACCATATTTTACTGTCTCAGATTTGAGACTTCCCTCTTCGTTGCCTCCTACGACTCGCAGAGGTAATCGAGCCCGCCTCCACATGGATAAAAAACCTTTAAAATTTCTTCTAAATGGCATATGTAATTTCAGTACGTACCTCACAGGAAAAACATTACGTCTCCGCTACAGAGCCCAACCGGTTAATGCTGTTTAGGGAAACAGTCGCTGTTTACTGTGAGAACCATACGGAACACACAGATACACTGTGTGGGCAGAATATATAGCAATTCAGTCCGTACCTCACAGGAAACATATTACGTCTCCGCTACAAAGCCCAACCGGTTAATGTTGTTTAGGGAAACAGGCGCTGTTTATTGTGAGAACCATACGGAACACACAGATATACTGTGGGCAGAATGCAGAGTTTCTTTACTGTTAAGGCAGGTGGTACGTTTAGTTACTTGATTTTAAACGTTAAAATTAAAAAATAAGTATCTGATATCTGATCACAAAACGTCAATGGCACGATTCGTAGACAACTTTTAGAACAAATTAATTTCTTACCGCCTCTTCCTTAACATAAACGTACAGTCCAGTCGACACAGCCAATCGAGATAAACACTTCGAGGGGATTCTCTGCCAATTTCATTAATATCCGTTTATAATATTTTGAGCAAAACAAAATAATGACCAATCCCGAACGACAGATCTACCAGTCACTCGATTATCGGTTCTCGTAACATAACGGTCGGGTGACACAGGAGAAATGACCTTCTGGTTTCATTACATAGGAACATTACATTACATGGTGTCCAGTAGCCTGGTAATATTATTTCGTAAATAGCCAATAGCAGAACCAACTATAGCGAATGCCACTGCATGACGAGAAATGAGCACGAACGCAGATCAACCATGCGATTATTTTCCCAAAACGCAATAACATCTCCCGTGAAATATGAACCAGACTTAATCTATACATCATATCTGTATAAAATGTCGCCCCTTTGTGAACTTCCGCACTATGATACCGTGCCGGAGGGGGTTGAAATTCGTGAACCATATCGGCCGTTTCATCGTTTTTGGGGGGTGGGTTTGTTTGCCTGTATTAGTATCGCATTCAATCTGCAGGGGTGGGGTCCCTGTAATAGCCTCCGCACTGACTGGCTGACACACGGATGGGTGTGCAACTAGTATCGTGCTGCAATGAGCCAACCCTTGAAATTGACCGGAACAGACGCACCCCACCCCTGAGCGGAGGTCACATGTTTGGGTTCGCTGTCAGGCTTACAAGATGAACATCTCGGTGTGGCCTGGCGTGGTGGCTGAGAATCCACCTTTCGTCATCCTCAAGCCCTCAAAGCAAACACAAGGAGACTATCTCGACTATACTATGACCACTTCCTTCCCAATTCATCATTCATCTATTCATGATATAAGCCTATAACTAGCTACTGACAGCGTCGTCAAATAACCATCCTGAGACTAATAACTCCATGGAGCAGGCTTATTCCTGAGAAGCTGATATTCGGTCAGCTAGCCATGAAATTACTCCCGATTTATGGAGCCCCAAGTACCAAGAGCCCCTTCTGGACCCCATCCCAAGCCATGTGAATCCAATCCACGCGACGGTGAACAAAAATCTTCACAGAGATATGAAAACACGGAGACACATGCACGAGCTTTCACTGCGCATCCCCAGAGGCGCATCACATCCCAGAAGTTCTCGGATGTCGGTGTGAATGAGAGTTACATTCAGAGCCCTCTGCAGCTTGAAGTTAAGAATTCAGCACCTAGCTCACAGCCGCTGCGGGCTAATTCATGACGGCAAGAAATCACCAGCGTCACGAAACGGCAGACAGGACCAAGGACATGCCCGTTCCGCAAAGGCGAGGCATTTCTTGCGCAGCTGTGCCACTATCAGATTCTCAAGAAACACTATATTCCACGCAGTAAGTTGATACGGACTATGCAGTGAACGTTTCCGCAGCAACTGAATTTTGGTTCAAATGAATGAAATTTCTGTTCATGATGCGAAATGTTGTCTCTCGTCTGAAGGCACGAGTACAGACGGAAAACACTTAACAGCGAAGTACTGGGGAGGATATCCATAATGTTACCCCAGAGGTCATCATGTAATGTACATAACTAACTTCATGGAGCTGAGCCCTTCTTGAAAAGCCGCCAATTGTGAAGCTACTCAAGAACTTGCCAGCATTTTATGGAACCCGAAGGTTCATTCCTCCACTGGTCCCTATCCTGAGCGAGTCCCAGTCCATGCCACCCAATTATATCTCTCTATCGTCCATTTTAATATTATAGACCCACTACATCTTGGTCTTCCTAGTGGTCTCTTTCCTTCTGGCTTTACCACCAATATTCTATATGCATTCCTCTTCTCCCCCATTTCGTGTTACACGCGCTTCCCATCTCATCCTCCTTGGCTTTATCATTCTAATTATAACGTGATGTACATTACTCTGTATATTGCAGAAACTGTTCCTGATAACAAGCGCAAGATAACATTATCAGCGGTACAGTAACAGCACGTAACGAGCCGGAGATAAGGAAAACTAGACAATTCGACTCACTGTATCGTTTAACCGTTTGAAGCTACAAATTTATGTATATGAACATTCATTTCCTACCTCGCAGGAAACAGTTCGTCTCCATAGCAACCACCAACAGGGAAATAATCGCTACACTGCGTGGGCAAAATGCATAGTTTTCTGATGTTAAAGCTGATGGTATACGCAGTTACTACTGTATTTTAAAGAGTAACCTATCATACTCGTATTTGAAACTGAATTACATAAGTTGACGTGTACGTAACACGTGGTGTATACCGTTCTTGCACTGAGGAAGCGTCATGTACCCAGTGGTTTGCTGAATATTGCCTGCCAGGTTTCGCTCGCTGTGGTGACAGGAGGTGGGTTAGGGGAGCGAGATATGCTGTCCCGCTATACAAGTACGCCGAGCCGTGATTGCATGCATGCCCGCTCACATATATTAACACATATATACCCCACGGGCATCAGGACCGCAACAGATATGTGTGCTCAGGTACTGAACCCCAGTGCCCCTACATGCAGCCCTTACTACACAAACTTCCTAAGGGTTTGAGGATCTGACGCCGTGTAGTCAGGTAAAGTTGTCACCATGTCTTGTCACTCTACGACCCACATGATGGAGGCTATGAGTTTTTCTGCAGAATTTTGTGAAAATGTACCACACTACACGGTGTCACATGCATGACTCAAAAGTCTGCACCGTGTTTATCAAAGTTCACATTTGCGGGGGTAAGAGCGGTCCTTGCGTTGGCACCCGGCTGTTGCCAGTCACAGAACTTTTCGGCACAAAAAATAACTAAAAGCATGCCATGGTATTTACCAGGATTTTTCGGGGGGGGGGCGTTTAAGCTGTTTATAAATATTTTTGCGGTGCTGTATTTTGCCTAGTGCTGTAGGTGTCTACAGGATAGGAAAACAGCATTTCTTAAAAACTATTTCGATTCTTGGTGTTAATGTTTGATATGTTCCCTACCTTTTTTCAATCTTAAAAATCTTTTTCCAACACAGAGGGGGAGATACATGACATGCCTCTCCCCCGCACACGGCCGGCGTTCATCCATTACTTCACACCCCATGACATAATCCCTAGAGACGTGTTTCCCAAAGTGTGTGCCGTGGAACACCGGTGGGCCGCACGATTTACCAACATATATATACATTCAGTCTGAGCAATCCATCTCGAACACAATGTTTTCTTTCATAGTCAAAGGCTTAACAGACAAAATTTCATTTCTAAGATTTCCCGGGGAAAGGCGCTCGGACCCGCCCAAGTCTTATCTATAGAATGCTGTACGCCCCTGAGCACCCATGTCTTCAATTTCAAAACGACAGCAAACTGTGCCCCACGTATTATAAGAAAGGGAAAATACTGCTTCAGGGAAATAACACCCCCCCTCCCCACTGAGCGGGTTGGTGCAGCGGTGGCGCTCTATACTTGCATGCGTGAGGTTCTGGGTTCGAATCTCGGCTGGGACACTGGCTATCATGAGGTTTCCTCGTGGTATTCCTCACTCCTTCCAGGAAAATTCCGGGAGAGTACTTGGAACAAACCGTGACCTGTTCCTCCCAAATCCTTCCCAATTCATTACGCTTCAGTCGGCGCAGGCGCACAGTGGACTGTGGAATAGCGTCTCATTGAAAGGCTTTTCACATTCGTTCAGTCGGCTCAGTTGGTACAGCCATTGGCTAAGGACTGGATGGCCACGGCTCGATTCCCGACGGGGAAAACAGATTTTCTCTACTCCATAGCGTCCAGTCCTAGAGCCGGGGCCCACTTGGCCTCCTATCGAATGGGTACCGGGGGCTATAACCCTTGGGGTAAAGCGGCCGGGGCGTGAACAATTAAGCATCTGAGTGAGGCCACATCCAACAAGAGTGCCCCAAGCAATTGCACAGACTTCTGGGTCAAAGGTTGGGATGTGCACAAACATGGCGCCCAAACGTGTGATGGCTTAAATACACATTGGAAACGTAAAGCTATCCCTGTAACAGGCGGTGTAGGCCCATAGGGTTGTTAGACGTCGAGGCTCCCACGTTTTCTAGACAATCGGCTCACAGATAGCAATGAAGTTGTCAGTCTTATGCGCCGGACGCCCTTTACCCCCAGGAAGATTCCTGGTACTCATTTCTGTTAGAGGCTACGTAGATCCAAGGTCGATAGTGCGGCTGGAAGGATTAGGTCTGTTGAAAAATTCAATGACCTCATCGGGAATCAAATCCGCGACCTTTCGGCTTGTAGCACAGTGACCCGTAGTAAAATTCAAGTTGCAAATATTATTTAGCGCAGGTTGGATTTGCAGTTCTCGGAATGTGACGCCGTGCAGTTGGGTAGTAGTCCATCGACGGTTCCTCAGCTTCTTGCTCGTTACGTGTTTGGTTTACTCTTCAGGGCCGCAGATGAAGGCAGTACGGTTCCCCGAAATGTCGTTAAGCGTCTACCGGACTAGACGGCGTTACGTCCCAGCTACAAGAAGTGGAGCTACACAGTGCAGCAGGATGCTTAACTCCAGTTTGACGCTCTGTTTGAAGCTCTTACGGCGCCCAACCTGCACGTACTTTCAGACAGTTCACATTTCATTTCCGCAGATCTGAACACTGCGTTCACATATTAATTTGTCCACTACAGCGCCATGTGGAAACAAATCGTGTGTATAAAATCTGAAACACCTGGCCCCCTTCTGTTGTATAATAATTTATATTTTAGAAATCACAAAAGAATGCGGTGACGCAGCCAACATATACCAATATTGCCCGCATATGTTCCCGCGCACATACAGAAGCGACGGGAATACAGGCTACACCCTAATTCGCATGAGCTCATCATGGACCGTTCAACCGAACATAAATCGACACATAGACTGGATGTTGCGAGCGCAGGAGAGGGAGGGATTGGATTGGATTGCATTGGTCAAATGGTGATTGGAAAATACGTTAGTGAGTAATCCTCATGCAGGCCAAATCACATACGGACCACGAATAGCGCTGTAGTCGTTTCAAGCCATCAGTCCTGTCTGCTGCATAGCGAAGCTTTCATGATGATGATGACGGTGATGATGGTGATGATGGCGAGGTAAAAATCATGTATACACGCTTATTCACAGGAAATATAACCCCGCCCTTGTGACCATCAGCGACGGCGTACAGGATTAGCGACGGAACATTCACTAAACTCCCATTTTTTGGCCTCGTTTCGATTAGCAATAAAGCTAACATTCGCTAACATCTGAATTGAAACACGTCTACGGGAAAGCATTCGTTAGAAAAGTGGCATATGTAGAAAAAGAAGGTAAAAAAGGCTTCTTCATAAAACAAAAACTGTGCAGACAAAGTCTCAGCTGTAGAAAAGTTACTGGACTTCCGGCTGAAAAAGGTTTTAAGAAAACCAGAAGAAAGTCCACTGAAATCTGAAGGGAGAAACTATTGCTATTGCCAAGATCACGTGATTCTAATTAGTCTAAGCTGAGCAATGCTTTGACGTTATGATGACGATCTCACCCCGTTTCCATGGAAACATATTAGTTCTCACGTGCATACTCAGATGGCACGTCTAACTAGCATAACATCTAATGAAATTTCATTGGAAATGGCTAATTTTATCAATATAATTATATAGGCCAAGGTGATGCTTTATCGCCACTCCTTTTCAACTTTGCCTTAGAATATGCAATTAGGAAGGTCCAGGGAAACCAGATGGGACCGAAATTAAATGGGACACATCAGCTGTTGGTCTACGCCGATGATGTGAATCTACTGGGTGATATAAACACACAAACTTTAATTGACGCAAGTAAAGAAGTTGGTCTAGAAGTAAACACAGAGAAAACTAAGTATATGTTACTATCTCGTCACCAAAATGCAGGGCAAAATCATGACACAAAGATAGGAAACAGATGTTTTGAAAATGTGGTACAGTTCAGATATTTGGGAACAACGATAACAGATCGAAACCTGATTCAGGAAGAAATTAAGAGGCGATTGAACTCGGGTAATGCTTGCTACCATTCAGTCCAGAACCTTTTGTCTTCTCGTCTGCTGTCCAAAAACATAAAAATTAGAATATACAAAACTATAATTTTGCCCTTGGTTCTGTATGGGTGTGAAACTTGGTCTCTGTCATTAAGGGAGGAACACAGACAAAGAGTGTTTGAGACCAGGGTGTTGAGGAGAATATTCGGACCAAAGAGAGATGAAGTCATAGGAGGTTGGAGAAAACTGCATAATGAGGAGCTTCATAACTTGTACTCTTTTCCAAGTATAATTAGAATGATCAAGTCAAGGAGGATGGGGTGGGCAGGTCGCGTAGCACGAATGGGGGAGACGAGGAATGCGTATAGGATATTGGTGGGAAAGCCAGAAGGAAAGAGACCACAGGGAACACCAAGGCGTAGGTGGGTGGGCAATATTAGAATGGATATTAGAGAGATAGGATGGGATGGATTGGATAGATCTGGCTCAGGATAGGAACCAGTGGAGGGCTCTTGTGAACACGGTAATGAACCTTCGGGTTCCATAAAATGCTGGGAAATTCTTGAGTAGCTGCAGAATTGGCGGCTCCTCCGGAAGGGTTCAATTCCATGAGTAAGTAAGTAATTATATAGGCATAGTGCAATGTTTGTCGTTGTCGTGTCGTTTCCATGGAAACGTACAGTTTCAGGGTACAAACACAGATGGCAGCTCTGTTTTAGAAAGAATGCAACCTCACAGATAAAGATGTAACATACTTCACAGGTGCACATACAAATGAAAGGGAAGAGAGGAGATAAAGGGACGAAAGGGGTAAAGGAAAATACATACAACAGAAATTCGCCGTTAAATTTACACTGGTCTCTTCCCAATTTCTGTGCATGTGAAATTTACTGTCTATAAAAATAAAAGTCGGCAAAAGCACCTGCCCAAAATAACCTGCAAATATAGTGCCTTGGTATAGATGTAGCTGTATTTCCGGAACTTTTCTAAGTTCCGGAAATACAGCTACATATATACCAAGGCACTATATTTGGCAGAACAACAATACGCACTATTTGTGTGGCTATCTGGAGGGAGGGGCGAGTGCAAATGTGGACACTAAGACACCGACACGAACATACGTACTTTCCACGGCTGTTTGACGCTGCATCTTATGCCTCTACTCGCCACAAACTACAACATTTCCGTCCACAATACAACTTGTTCAATTCCTCCTTCTAATTTTCACTTTCACAACAATTTTCGTTTGTCCAACACTGTTTCACTGTGTGGTATATCTCACATCTTCTACCACATATGAATGTGACATGTCCTAATTTAAAATAAAGGACTCTACTAAAATCATTGAAAATCAATACAGTCTAGTTAAAATTTAGTTAATTTTTTCAGTATTTTGCTTGAGGGTTGTCGCCTCTTTATCCGAACTCCATTGTGCAGATGTTCTTTGTTTGGAACACTTGCACAGAGGCATGGGTGTTTGTGGCTCTCGAAATATTGATGTAGTTACCAAGAATTCGTAGCCATTACCAATGTACATAACGGCAGAACAGAATGCGTTAGCCTCTTACACACTCCGAAGGGAGCGGTTACAGCATTAGCTGAAGAACTGGGGAAAACTAAGAAACACCTCAGTCACGACAGCCAGTCTCTAGGTCACTGAACCCGGCATCATCTCAGGTGGAGGCAACCTTACGGGAGCAAAGTCCCTGTGTGTGTTCAGCGAGTTCTCCGGTCCGGCGATTCTGGTTCACAGCGCATGTCCAGAATGTAATGTGGGAGCCTTCAAATGGTAACGTAACAATCTACGTCACTGTCTGATGATGACGCACTCTCAAAGATGTTTTAGACATCAAAGAAACTGGACATCTTAAAGGTAAAATCCGACGTTTTGGTCAATACTTACTTGTGACCGTTTCGGCTGGCCAAATGGAGAGGTGTGTGCCTAAACTGGCTGCCATGCCCCCGTGAATAAGGTTGAATCAGTTCTGGGTGGGTTCGAACCAAAAGTTCCACGGTTTCAAGCCTGCAACAGAGAAGTGTGCCCAAATTATCTACAGAACAGTCCCTCCGCGACACCATCTCTGGCTTTCACTGAACACTGTAAACCGACGTGGAAAACCTTCCAACACTGAGGCCTGCTCCTGTCTCGACATCTCTCTGTGCATTGCTTCACGGCGCTGTCTGTACCTAGACGATACAGCGTCCAATAGCGGCCTCCGTAGTCTAGGGGCAACGTTCCCACCTCATGACTCAAGGTACGCGGGTTCAAACCCGGCGGAGGTCGTGGAATTTTTAAGGGCGGAAAAATTCAGGGAACAAGTGCTCCGGGAGGGACTTTAAGCCGTGGGTCCCGTGTCGTAGATTTACGGCACGTAAAAGATTCTCATGTCTCTAGGAGACCTCTGAGCAAAATTAGGCAACAAGTTTCCCGCCTAAGTAGTTTCCAATGCCTCTGGTAGATGGGGGAAATATCAGGTACCGAGGGCCGACCTCGTTGCCTGAACGGGGCTGATAGCACACACCAGTACCGGTAGAGTATGGCGACAGTAGAAATTAAAGGGGGACGCACAATGCACCAATAACTGGTCTAAATGCATGGGGAAACCCACCCCCTCTAATAATAATAATAATAATACAGCGTCCAATGGTGCGATGAATGTTGAACTGGAAAGGATCTGGAAGGGGCCAATGATGGCCCCATCGAGGTACTATTTCTGCTTTGCCTTGGAGGGGCTGAATCCCGGTATCTGGTGTCCCGGTCGACATTCGAACCGAGAACCTCTATGCTAGCCAACTCCTCCAATACGACCATCAATCTACTTAGTGTTAAGACTATGGTTATACAGGGAGTAGCGATTCAGAGGAACCTGGTACCTTCAAACCCGAACATGGAGGTTCCTTCGAAACGTCGGCAGTGATCTACCAGACTACATGGAGTCACATCCAAGAAAAAATACAATATTAAAATATGCCTATACGAGAACCTATCTGGCGACAAAAGATGATTTTTCGACATGATTCTGAACGTTGGTGACAAATAATTGAATTATACGAGAAAAGTACGTGCTTAGGTTTGATTCAATCAGTAATTCATCATCAACGTATATTATTCTGTCCAGATCCTAATTCTATATGAACAGATTCTTTCTCATGTGATGCATATTATCTTCTGGGATGAGGGCCGATGAGCAGGCCAAGCAAACATAGCCCTCTGTCTAGACGTGGGCGTCTTGTGCCTCACCTGCCATACTGAGCTGCCAAGTCGAGGGCTGTCTCTTCTCTGCTGTTCCTGATGGTCGGGTCACACGAATGCTCCAGAAGCTGGCTAACCACAGCAGTGTGCCCATACTGGGCCGCACAATGCAGTGCCGTCTCGTTGTCCTTCGTCTGCAAAAGAGGATCATCCTGTAGAACAAGCTATCCTACGGGTTTCTTTAAACACTGTCAAAATGCTTCCGCATACTGGGCGACATGGCGCAGTGCCATCCTGTTGTCCTTCACCTGTACATGTCAGTCGATTGAGAGATCGCAGCACAACGTAATAACATGTACTCATTCCTCCACAAAATAGGACCACCCTGTATAATATGTTATCCGATTGTAGCGGGGGGTGTTTTGCGATGCTGGGAGCAGCTAGAATATTCAGCATAGAAATGTAAAATAGCAGAGATGAACTGGGAAGGATTTGAAAGGAAACCGGCGTGATCCAATCCAGTTATTATACAGGTATTTGCCTGAAGGGACTGAAGAAGACCACGAATTCGTGTTAGGGCGGTGTGTCCCCTCCCCCCGCGGAGATTCGAACCGAACACCTCCATATAATCAGTATACCGTTCCTTACGTAACTCGACTCCATTGTGTCAGTACATCTGTACCTCGGTTAGATACAGGGGTAGTTTCAGCTGTGCTCAGGGGTTGGAGGGAATGAAGAGTCATGCTCGTAGTCACATTAGAGACAGGAGAAGGAGCCTCCCCCACCACAGACGGACGGACTGAATGTAGTATCTGCAACAGACGTTGATGTTCACCGAGTGAAACTGACACTTCGATCCCACCCCAGGACGTTCGCATCATCTCAGTAGCCAATTACAAACCGGACCAATGAATTTCAACTACAGAATTTTTAGTACAAAAAAAAACTTTCCACCTCCTCCCCTAATTCTCCTCAAACCCTTTCATACAGTTTGCATATAAAAACCGGTTGTTGAGGTGAAATGAACACTAGAAGGACGGGAGAGGGTAGGAAACAATGTAATAATATAAAAGTTACAGCAGAAACACTGGCATGAATAAAAAAGAGATGGGAAAGAAGGAAAAATGACGAGACGGATGACAGGAGGAGGGAGGGGGAGAGCATAACAGAGAAATGAAATCTGGTTCGCTCCGCCACTTTGCTTCAGCGACTAATCCAGTTTTCCGGTAGCTGGCCTTGCTCTGCAGTGAGCGAGGGATGAATATTGAAACAGTGAAGGCAGATGACAAGTTATCCAGTCAACCGAATGCCACGCCACTTCAATCCAATTCCATACCATTCCTCGCTCTTCGCAATGCCCCCCGCCCCCAAATCCTAACTCCAGACAATTTTGTTCCAAAATATATAATTAGATATAAAAACAATTCTGACTTGTTTAAAGCTGAAAGGGAAGTTGGTGCCCAGGGTGCAGGTCAGGGCGAGAAGTTGTGTAGCCGGATCCTGGGGTTGGCTTCTCACCGTGGAGACACGGTTTGAATCCCGGGCGACTTCATGCGAGGTTCTTCGTTCACTGTTCCATAGGTTTCCCCCTGATAATCACAATTCTGCTATTGTGCCATACGCACCTATCCCCGCCCGCCGAGGTGTGCAACAGGCAGCACAGTATCATACATCCAGTCCCTACGGTAAGGCGGGTCTTCGTCTCTGATACGGCGCATGGCTGATTTCATTCAGCCAGAAGTTACTAAGCCACACGATAAGTTTACTCCATCATACTATTTACAAGAATTAAATAAAGGTAAAATTATCCCTGTAACAGGGAGGGACATAAGAGTTGTGAGATGTCCATGCTCCCACATTTTCTAGACAATCGGCTCACAGATGGCGGTGAGGTTGTCAGTCTTATGCGCCGGCCGCCTTTTACCACCCAGGAAGATTCCTGGTACTCATTTCTGTTAGAGGCTGAGTCGACCCCAGGGCCATAGTGGGGCTGGAATTATTACAAGAATTAAATAAAGGTAAAGTTATCCCTGTAACAGGGCGTGGAGGCACATAGAGTTGTGAGATGTCCATGCTCCCACATTTTCAAGACAATCGGCTCACAGATGGCGGTGAGGTTGTCAGTCTTATGCGTCGGCCGCCTTTTACCACCCAGGAAGATTCCTGGTACTCATTTCTGTTAGAGGCCGAGTCGACACCAGGGCCATAGTGCGGCTGGAATTATTACGTCAATTAAAAAATCCAATGACATCGTGAATCGAACCCGCGACCTTCCGGCTTCCAACACAGCGCTTCAACCAACTACGCTACCGCGTGTCCCGCAATGTAAGTAATAATAAGATTATGAATTTTGGCATACAAATTGAACCGTTCTTTTCAGAGTGGGGTGAGACTGAGTCCCGTGGCAATTTGGCAGCAAATGGCCCCCGGATAAGAGATGACATAAATGATGCATTTACCGCGAGGAGAATAGGCGGGGGAAACCGAAGTATCCGCTGAAAACCAGCCCCACTGCCACAGATCTCGCATGAACTGCATTGGGACTTAACCTGGGCCGTCCCGGTCAGAATTAGAACCTGTTCTAAGATACAAGCTCAGTACGAGAGGAACTAAGGCGGGAGATAAAGAAATCTGACCATCACGAGCCACAAGCACGAAACAACAAAACTGTCAAGCTCCTAGGTCCCTCTAAAAATGAATCTCGTAAGCGTCGCGTCTCCATGTGCTATGCTTTTGTTCCTCGCGGCCAGCAGCGGCGCTGTACACGCAGTGGTGTGTGCTCGCTGGACAGGCATTGTGCATCACCATGGAGATGGGCATCAGGCGCTCCAATTCCATCATAACGCTCCGATAAATACAGATCCCGTGTGACAGCACCCACCCACACAGGGACATCCACGCCAAGCCGAAACCTCCATCTTACTTAGCTCCTGAGCTGTAACGCAGCCGACGTTTCGGAGCAACATATCGCCTCTATCTCCACAGACAACACTTAGCTTCATAGTCATCGCTGTGAGCACTTCAAATCCACCGTACTTACTTACTTCTTGTTCTGCGCCTCGAGTTTCAGAACGTTAAACAACATAAGAGTCGCATAACTTTGAAGATTTTAGGTTACCACAGCGGTGACTAGTAAGAATGCCGCCTTCTGGGCTGCAGCCACCTGCTCATGCTGGTTCCCTACTCGCGGATTTCTTATACCCTGTTTACACAATATCTACACGGCGCCAAATCCAAGAAGACGGAATTCTTGTTTTCCTGCTCTCCCCAAGCAGGTCTGTTGCCTGGATAATTCCCTGGTATTGTTTTACGGGCGACAGCAACAGCACGTCTCGCACTTGATGGTGACAAGAACGGTTTCTGGAACAAACAGAATGGCGTACGTCACGCGATTTGTTCCCTCCTCCCATCACTTAACGTGCAGTTACTCTCCTCGGATGCCGTGCTCCTCCTTCAAGGCGAGAGGCTGCATTTCACGGCCAGGTAAAACAAACACGTTACTCGTACGAACCAAAATCCAATTCGTATGAAATTTCTCTAAGTAACTAACCAACCATCTCCATGAAGTAATATCTTTCTTCAGAAGCTAACAGTGGCTCAGCTTCTCATGAAATTTACCGCCGTTTACAGAGGTTCACCGCCGTCTCTACAAAATCCCACCTAGTCCAAAGTCGTATGTAACAGTTCGTAATACTGCTGTCCTTTCGCTGTTTGCCCTCCATTCAAACCGTACGCCAGAGGATCACTCCTCATCGGAGGTCAGATGCTTCTTCCACAATAAGTTTCGATCGAATATGGTCCATCATCAGGCAGATTACATGCATACACACAACGCCGTCGAAACTGGGTTAAAATTAGGTCTATATTATTGCTAAATGTTGTTAAAATTAATTAAACCTTTTCTTTTTCCAATTTTACTTTATTTTATGGTTTCCTGTATTTCGTTCATTAATTAATTAATTCATTCATTCATTCATTAATGGATCTACAGCCCTTTGTTGGACCCTGGCCTCTCCTTCAGTTTTGTAATATTTTGTACACAGACGGTAAGACTCTTTGTGCGGGGAATCAGCTCGTCTGAAGGCCGCTACTTACACACAGGACAACACAAGCACAAAATAAACGCGCACACAAACATTCATGCCTCGAGTGGGATTCGACCCCACGCTCCCAGTGTTTGAGCGGGCGAAGACAGTTCATTCCTTAGACCGCGCGGCCACCGTGATCGGGGCCTGTACAGTATTTCCTACTTTCTTGAATTCTAGAGTGAGTTGTGTATATGGATTCTGTTACTGTAGTACTGTGTGGTACTGGTACACATTGCAACTAATGCGCTTTAAAGTATTAAAAAACTCCGTGGCCTGTAGTCCGCAAACGAACTACACCGACCGAGCGACCGCCGCTTGTCGACGAAGTTAGTGCAAACTTTTGTGGAAAGAGGGAGTCGCGTGGTCTGCGCAACGGATCCCAACGGCCATTTTTCTCCGTCTTCTAGACCGGAGCCGCTATTTCCTTGAAATAGCTGCTCAATTGTCCTCACGAGGCTGAGTGGACCCCGTTCCAGACCTACTACTTCTCAGAAAATCTGTTAGCGCAGGGAATAGAACACGGGATCTCTGGATCTGTAGGCAGGAACTCTGACCACTAGACCAGAAATGAAATTCTGGTGGACAGCCCTGACCTAGCCAACATCACTCAGTACTTGTTCGCGATAACTCGTGACCCTCAGCAGTTTCTGTTATTGGGAACGCGGTGCGTAATGAAGGAGAACATTCAGTGTAATTAAACTGCATGCGACCCTCCAACAGGCCCGGGTACTTGTCGGACAAGCCCTAAGTCATTATTGCTATTACTTCAACATGTTAAATGGACAAGAAGTTGACTGACTCGTCGGACCCGGCGAAGTAGCCAATTGACGGCGGACAGTGCCGTGGGTCACAGGCAAACAGCTGCCAGTGATGACGAAACTGATTAACGAGCGAACTCACCCCCGGCCCCATCCCCCCCCCACCCGTGTCTTAATCACGTCCTCTACCGACATCCACCCCGCACTTGAAACGTTAAGGACGTTTACGCGCGTTGATTCCTAACGGAACGCGGGTTACATGAAAGGAAGCTAGCAGTTAGCACTTAAATATTTATCGAACTACATAACTAGTCAGAATAACAGTTTACTTTATCGACCGAGGTGGCGTTGCGGTAATGCTCCTGGTTCGCACTCGGGAGGTACTCGGATCAAACCCCGGAAAAACAACCTCAGTAATCACTCTAGGTAACAGACGGATAGCACCTCAAACAGAGCACGATCGTTTCCTTCCAGATCTTTCCCCATTCGTCATTCATGTTACCTTTCGTTGCTACTCACCGCCACGTCACATCAGTTTATTGTATTACGTTGTGGACGCGGCTGAGGGGACCGCAGTCAGAGAGAAGGCACCGTCACTCAGCTCGACGTACTAGCCCGGTACTTGCGTGGAAGAACTGAGAAAACTACAAACATCACTCAATGTAACCGGTTCGAAATTCGAATTCACATCCTCCAGAGTACGGAACAGGAGAATTACACTAGCTCCATGAAGCAGATCCCGAGCCGCTCAGCTGGCCAACAAATGAAATCCGAATGTTCATTACCGTGTTCACAAGAGCCTCCAGCGCACCCTATCACTAAGCCAGAACAACCCAGACCGTACCTTCACCCATGTTTTCTTACGAGCATTTTAGTCTTTCCCGGGTCAACCAGGATAGCTCAGTTAGTATAGTGACTAGATTACGGGCTCGAACAGTCGGAGTCAGGGTTTAATTCCCAGCAGGGGAAAAAAAATACCCTAATTTTCATAGCTTTCAGACAGCCTCCTTTCCCCCGGCGGTAAAGCGGCCGGGGCGTACAGCTGACCACTCTCCTCCAGTTATTCTCGACGTTAAAAATACGTGGATGTATACCCCACACCCCCTTACGTCTTCATGGCCTGATTCCTATTTAAGTAGCCTGTTGTTCCCTATTTATTATTATTATTGGAGGGGGTGCGTTTCCCCATGCACCGCGAATAATAGTCTATTGTACGTCCCCATTTAAAATTCTACCAGTCTCCATACCCTGCCAGTACTGGTGCTCGCTATGAGCCCCGTTCAGCCAGCGAAGCTGGCAGGGGTTCCCGATACTTCCCCATCTACCGGAGGCATTGGAAACTACTTGGGCTGGAAACTGCCTAATTTTGCTCAGAGGTCTCTTAGAGACATGAGGATCTTTTACGTGCCGTAAATCTACGACACGGGACCCACGGCTTAAAGTCCCTCCCGGAGGACTTGTTCCCTGAATTTTTCCGCCCTTAAAAATTCGACGACCTCCGCCGGGTTTGAACCCGCGTACCTTGAGTCATGAGGTGGGAACGTTACCCCTAGACTACGGAGGGCGCCTATTGTTCCCTAACTGGTAACCGCCTCTGCGGTCTAGTGGTCAGCGTTCCTGCCCACAGATCCAGAGGTCCGGGTTAGATTCTCGGGACTACCAGACTTTTTCTGAGAAGTAGTGGGTCTGGAAAGGGGTCCACTCAGCCTCGTGATGATAACTGAGGAGCTACTTAAAGGAAATAGCGGCTCCGGTCTAGAAAACCGAAATTAACGGCCGTGGGAATTCGTTGCGCTGACCACGCGAAAACTCTATCCGCAGAAGTTGGCACTAAGCGATCGGTATAGTTCGCTTGCGGACTGAAATCGCCCCCCCCCCCCCCCCTCACTGGTGCTTACTGTGAGGTTGACGTTTGGCACCGACGGCCCATGGCACAGCAAGAGGCGAACGACGTCCACGTTGCCGGTCCAGGCGGCCAAATGGAGCGGCGAGGATCCCTTCACGTCCAAAATGTTGGTGGAGGCCTCGTGAGCCAGCAGCAGCTGGACCACTTCCCTGTAAGGAACCAGATGAACGTGCGTCATCCACACATGGGGAATTTTGTTCCGTAAGATTGCCTACACAAGCTATGACGTACCCTGGTTCGTAGAGCTGGTGGACTTTAACACATTCGCTATTCTTCTTAGCTACTTCTGAATCGTGCCAAAATGAACACAGCCTAAAGAGGCAGACCTCCTGTCCCTCAATGAGGGGAATGCGAGGCAATTACCAAGAAGTGTACTATGCATGCTGAAAACATTGGCATAATTTTCTGACGACTATTACTAATGCCACATTGAAGATTAATGTGCTCCTAATTTATATATTGGTGCCCACTCAGCTTAGCAGAAATTTCACCCTATCCCCACCCCTTCATAATTTCATACGTGTGCATAAAGATTCAGGTTTTCATTTTAAAAATCTGTTGCTATTCTATCCATTTCGTGATGTTACTACCACACAGAGGATTATAAACAATTCAGTTTTACTACAAACCATTTCCAGTGGCAATAATGAAAGTTAGGATTTGAAAGGGGGGTGCGACAGTGTGGTGCTAATTTCAAGGGAACGGATACGACCAAGAAGCATTTGGTGAGCTGTTCTGCCGATACAGACATATGGTATGAGGTGGACTTACTTGTGTCCGTTCAGCGCCGCGTGATGAAGCGCAGAGTAGCCACTGCTGTCCTGAACATTTGCCCCAGGTCCGCGGCGCAAACTGAAAACAAACAAACAGATGCAACAAGTCCAAGACTAGCATACCCACCGGTATATTCTAGGGGTAACTGTGTAGAACAGTGTTTGGGAGCTGCGTAATTGCGTTCCCAGAGCAGACACATTCTATCCTGAGTTCTCTTTGTTTTTCTCAGTCCCTCAAAGTACATTAGGCCAGAACCGCTTCCTTCAAAACCCTTTCCAGTTCACCAACCAACGCTACATATCCTAGCTACTGACAATGAAGTAAAATAACGAACGACAAACTCCAAAACATTCCTACAAGCCAGATTAACACTTGCCTTCAAATCAGGAAGATGATTTTCCCAATAATTACAATTTTGCTGCTTGAAAAATTATATAGAAGTGGAGGGCTGGTAGAATATTTACAGTGACTGAATGAAAATGGACGAGAAATAAAATAGAAATCCTTTGGATCTCAAAACATAAAATCCCTGTTCTCGCCAGGACGCGAACTCCTGCCTTTCGTTTAGTCCGTAGGAAATCTTTCATTGAATTACTACGCCGACTGGGTAACACAGTTAGACCCCTGAGGCATGTACTTCATCTAAGTCACATTAAACAATTCAGTCCATACCTCTCATGAAACACATTACGTCTCCGCTACAGAGCCCAACCGGTTAATGCTGTTCAGGGAAACAGTCGCTGTTTACTGTGCGAACCATACGGAACACACAGATACACTGTGTGGGCAGAATATATAGCAATTCAGTCCATACCTCTCATGAACCACATTACGTCTCCGCTACAGAGCCCAACCGGTTAATGCTGTTCAGGGAAACAGTCGCTGTTTACTGTGCGAACCATACGGAACACACAGATACACTGTGTGGGCAGAATATATAGCAATTCAGTCCGTACCTCACAAGAAACACATTGTGTCTCCGCTACAGGGCCCAACCGGTTAATGCTGTTTAGGGAAACAGTCGCTGTTTATTGTGAGAATCATACGGAACATGTAAATGTACTGTGGGCAGAATGTGGGATCTGTGAGTGTTATAGCAGGTGGCACATATACGAGTAGTTATCGCCGTGCTCCAAGTGGTTAGAGTGGAAGAAATGCTTCTATACAATGCCGGCATCCACCTACCGAGCGAGACTGTCAAACACTTTGTTCGGCCTGAAGGCCACGCAGAGACAATAAGTGCCTTAATAAAGGGGCCCTTCTGTATTCAGCAGACGACAGCCAATATGGCAGGGCACACTGCTTCGCTTCTGGTGGGCTCAGTTCGCGATAAGTAATGTTATGTAGCAGCAGTGGTAATTAATGTAGGAGTCTTACAGACACTCACGTAACTGTCTGAGACCCTGGAAGCATAACTGCACGGGTCAGCACACTGAAGGGGGGAAAAATGGACCGAGAACGGAGGAAGAAATAGAAGATTAAGGGATAAAGTGGAAGAGCTGAAGAAATAAGAGGAAAATCATGGCAGGACAGAAGTTGGAGAAAAAAAAAGAACAACAATAAAAATGAGAAATAGGCTGCTTCTTCCTCGTGCCTTCTTCGTCTACCTACGAACAAACACTAGCGTAACACCTATTGAGAACACAGCAGCAAGCCTCATGACCTGTTACATTAGCCTCCCTACCGCTAACTTCCCTTCTTCTCTGCAGTATTCCTTTCTAGTGCTACATCTTATTGAATGATGCATCGAGGCCAATGTTTTGGCGCCATTTTCTACATTCGGGAGACGCACCATTAGAATCTCAAGCCGGAAGGAACACTCTCTATCCTGACTGTTTTAGTGGTTTTCCTCAGTCTAGCCAGGCAAATACCGACACACTACCTCGACCTGGCAACGACTTCTCACTTCCAAAACTTCTGTAATTGAAGATTCACTACTCACCCTACCATGGGACGCTACAGAGTCTAAGCTACTTACAGTGTCGTTAAATAAACAACAAATAAATAAATAAATTTACTTTTTGGCGCTATAAGGCTCTGGGTTCTACCCGACGGGTACGGGGGGGGCTCCTTCACGGGGTAAAGGTGCTAAAGCGTAAAGCTGAGGTTGAGACTACGTGGATCTATACCGCTACTCCCCCAATACGTCTTCACCGCATGATGCTTTCATGAGCACAGGGATAAGCAGTAAAGTTGGGTCAGGAGTCGCGCATGAATCCCCAAATCTCACACCTGCTCTAAAAAAAAAGTGAAATAAAACTATCCCTGTAACAGGCCGTGAAGGTCCATAGTGTTTGAGACGTTGAGGGTCCCACATTAGCTAGACAATCGGCTCAAAGATGGCGGTAAGGTTGTCAGCCTTAAGCGCCGGCCGCACTTTACTCTCCAGGAAAATTATTTAATTAATTCCTGGTACTCATTTCTGTTAGAGGCTGAGTCAACTCCAGGGCCATAGTGCGGCTGGAAGAATTAGGTCAACTGAAGAAAATCCAAGGACCTCATCGGGACTTGAACCGGCTTGTAGCAGAGCCCCCCAACCAACTACGCTACCGCGTGCTCCCACACCTGCTCTATATAGGCTAAATGTTACGTAAGAAGGGGGCAGGGAGGGAAGGAAGAAGCGGGATCGATTGTGCTCCAGTGCCAAGGGTTGACTTCCAGGGGTTGTTCTCATGATTTCCAGCCCTCTCTTGCTCCTACGAATCTAACCGTCGGCAACCAATTTTCACTTTCGGGTCTAAAGGGATGCTCTGAGACAAGTAAACAGAGGGTGGCATGGAGTTACTTGTGATTCACACGGACTGTGTGTCCCAGGAGATATGAAGAAAGCATTCAGTTCGGAGAAAGTCTGCTGCCATTCCGTCTTCCTGTCAGCTATCTACAAACGCGACACCTTGCAGCCCGGTAGATGTCCACCGACGTTTCGGAGGAACGTAAAGTAAGCCAAACAAGCAACCAGCAAGAAGCATGTGACGTGTACAGCTGTGGACGCAGTACGTTTCTAGAAAAGCCGGTAAACCTCTACCAGACTACACGGTATCACATCCCAGGGGACACCACTCTTCATAGTCACCGCTGTGAACTTAATTCCGTCCCACAACCGTCCCTGTTGTCTCGTAAGGGTGTGACCGAGAAGGGTGGCTCAACCGGTAACGCTGCGGAGGTGTTCGGTTCGAATATCGGCCGGGGCACCAAGTATTCTGAGGTTACAGTGGTTTTTCCCTTAGACCCTCCAGACAAAGAACCTTAAATTGATCCATTATCTCTTTCTTCCACTTCCTTTCCAATTAGTTCTTCACTATCATCCAATCATTAGGCCAGATTTCCTGAAAACACTACTATATTCTAGTCCACTGGCAGCGCTGAAACGAGCTGCAACCCTCAGCACTTTTGCCACTGCAATGCTGCTCACGTAACCGAGTGCTGTGGGATCTAAAAAATTAGAGAAACACGCAAGATTCATGACCCAGATCACTGTATATGACCGTAAAGGTCCTTCAGCACAGCATCTGCTAATAATAAACGTAATGTATTTTTCATGGAATTCAAGCATTTCTCTTGATACTGAAGTCCGACAGAGAACAGCTTTACGCCATCATCCATCACAAAGATTTATGACGAAACACGTAACATTAGCATAGAACAATCTGCTCCACAGCCCACATGAATACTCTTGCTGCGTCGCATTACCCTCTGAAACCCGATAAATAATAATATATAAAAGTCAGTCCGTACCTCGCAGGGAACACTCTCTCCCCTCGACAACGCTGAAGCAGTTAATGCTATTTAGGGAAACAGTCGCTGTTCATTGTGAGAATCGTATGGAACACACAGATACACTGTGTGGGCAGAATATATAGCAATTCAGTCCGTACCTCACAGGAAACACATTACGTCTCCGCTACAAAGCCCAACCGGTTAATGCTGTTTAGGGAAACAGCCGCTGTTTACTGTGAGAACCGTATGGAACATACAGATACACTGTGTGGGCAGAAAGCCATAGCTTGTCATGTTAAAGCTGGTGGTACATATACACGTACTTACCACTATACTTAACTGGGAGAATAACACTTCTGGAAACCGTATTCGCTACATGGGCTACTAACTAACAGACGCTCATATAAAGAATTTGTAACGATTCGTATTGCATATCAGCTCTGATGAGAAAGGGATATCCTCCCAGGGGTTCTTCGCGGTTTTCCTCAGTACCTGCAGCCAGATACCACATCCCTTCCAATTCATTATTTATTAGGCATCCTACGATTCGACGCTATATAGTGTGAGGTTCTGACAGCGTCAGCAAGTAAACCCTAAAATAAAACGAAATAACAGAATCTTCATGGTTATATAACTGAACAGTGACAGCTCAGATCACGAATTGCGACATAACTGTAGCCAGTGCATGTACGAACAGCCAAGTATGACACATTAGCGACATTTATATCTTACAGTAATCAGTACTGAACTGATAATATCAAGGAGTGCGCTTGGCATGACGCTGTGTGACAAACACTTGTTCCTAGCTGCTTCGAGACAACAAAAATGCTGTCCTGAAAAGACTCTAACTTACAAATTTGTATTTTGATTTAATGTATTTATCTGTGGTTCCTTTAAAGATGATTTCAAAGGCTCATATAACTTGGAGTCGAATTACATCAGTAAATAATGAATTGGAAAGGATGTGGAGGGAAACGGATGTTGCCTAATTTCGTGCACTAACTCGGAAAATCACAGAAAACTCATTCATAATGGTCGGGGCCTCCCAATTACGATGCATAATTTTCTTAGTAAACCTTTAATTAAAGTACTGTGGTAACTATATGTACCATCAGTTTAAACAGAAGGAAAGCTATGCATTCTGCCCACACAGCGTATTTACGGGTTTCATACAGAGGTCACAATAAACAGCGATTATTTCCGTAAACAGCGTCAACCAGTGCAACTAGGTTTACAGACAAAAAAAAAACTATGCGTGCACAGAAACTATTTCCTCAGTGGAGTTTAAGGTCTAAGTTCAATAATGCTACTTTGAGATATGAACAGGCTTCACTAAAACAAGTGAACGCCGGCTGTTTGAT